ATAGCCCTTTGGGCACAGTTCCAAATTGCTCTCCACAATGGTTGGATCATTTCACAGCTCCACCAACAATGCATTATTGTTCCAGTTTTCCCATATCTTCTCCAACATTTATCAGTTACTTGTTTGATTATGTTGGCCAATCTGATAGGTGTGATGTGGTACTTTTTTTTTTTTTAACAAGCATTTATTAGGCAGCTAGATGGCACAGTGGATAGAATGTTGGATGTGGAGTCAGGAAGACTTGAGTTCAAATCGAGCCTCAGCCACTTAATTAGATATGTGACCTGGGACAAGTCACTTAACCTTTGCCTTTCTCAATTTCCTCCTGTGTAAAATGAGTATAATAATAACACCTTCCCTGAGTTGTTATAAGGGTCAAATGAGATAATATTTGTAAAGCTCTTTGCAAACCTTAAAATGCTATATATTAGCTATTGTTATCATCTTTCTCTTCCTCCTTCCTCCCCCTAAAAAAAGAAAAGGAAAAAAAAAACCCGTCATAACAAGTATGCATTGTCCAGCAAAACAAATTAATACATTGACTATTTCTGTCAATGTGTGTCTTATTCTGTATTTTTAATGCATCACCTCTCCATCAGGGGTAAGTGGTGTGTTTCATCTTCAGTTCTCTGGAATTGTGAGTTCTAAAATCTTTCAGAATTGTTTTTTGTTGTATTGTTATTGTATAGTTCTCCTAGTTCTTCTCATTTCACTTGGCATCTGTTCATAAAATTCTTTCCCATTTTCTTCTGAAACTATCATTTCATCATCTCTTATGACACAATATTTCATTACATTCATGAACCATGATTTATTTAGCCATTTGCAGTAGATGGAAACTCCTAAGAAGTAAAATTCAGAAGCTAAATAGCTTCAAGGTTCATGAAGGCTTTTCCTTAGAGACAATCCTGTGAATTAGGTAGCATGAATATTATTTCTGTTTGATACATGAGGTTACTGAGTCCCAGGAAGGTGAAGTGATCTGTCCATTACCTAATTTCCTAATGAACTTCCAAGCTGGTGCTTGGACCTATGCCCTCCTAACATCCATGTTTGTGCTATCTCCACTCTACCAGGCGGCCTCCACAAAACTTAAAAGGATGTCTTTGACTATTTCTTCCTATTAACAAGACACATGTGGTTTCCCAGGGTGGACGTCTCACTTAAATGAAAGTGTGTTTTTTAAAAGCTCTGACATGCCTTCCGATTTCCGCAAAGATTTGGTAACTTTGGCCCCTTGTGTGACCCATTTTGCAACAGTGTGTGACTCAAGCCAACCATTTTAGAGCCATTCATGGACTCTGAGACTCACCCTCACAGATGTTTTTATGCTGTCAGATCACTTCCAACACATTCATGGCAAATATGGCAGAACAAGAAGGAGTTAAAGCAACAGCCTGTGTAGCAGCTGGCCAGATAGTACCAGCAACGTGTCAGAGCACTTGTTGAATATGGTGGTGCCTTTGTGAGGTCCCATTGGCTAGGGGACAGACCAGAATCTCTTACCAACATCCTATTAAAGGATGTCATAGTTAGAATGTTGTTGGAAACAGTTGTGGCCTACATTTTGTATCCGTGAACTGAGTGAGAGATCTGAGTAGGCTTTTGTAGATGCTACTACTGTTGAAATTATCTTTTCAAAATCTGAATCCTTTGATTGGTGCAGGGATGCTAGGCTTCTTTTTCTTTTCTTTTTTCTTTCTTTCTTTTTTTTTTTAAAGGCAGTTGGGGTTAAGTGACTTGCCCAGGGTCACATAGCTAGTTAGTGACAAGTGTTTGGTCTGAGGCTGGATTTGAACTCAGGTCCTCCTGACTTCAGGGCTGGTGCTCTATCCACTGAGCCACCTAGCTGCCCCCTAGGCTTCTTTTTCTTAAAGGTTCAGTTCAGGTACCTCAAAACCTTCCCTCATTCCCCCCAGGTGAAAGAGATCTCTCCCAAAATTTTCCTGAGACATTTTCTCTGATTCTCATCTTCTTCCCCTTTTGCATTCTACCTTGTACTCATTTGCATCTATGCTGTTGTAAGCTCCTCGAAGATCTGTTTCTTTTCTTCTACTTTCTGTCCTTTGCACACAATAGACACTTAGTGCGTTGAGTTGTGGGATGGAAAGCACAAGAGTGGGACATCTTCCTGACTTTGCTACTAGTCTCTAATAAAATGAATTGGTTGCTTCATCTTCCCTGTCTTTAGGTTAGAAGTTCAAAGATGAAATTCAGATTTGGTTCAAGTCATTAATCTGAGGCATTATCAGCAGACTTTTCTGCTGCCACTTCAGTGGTGTATCTTGTACCCCATGTGGATGAGAGGCAACCCCAACAAGAAAGGTCTTTGACACTGCTTCCTCCTTGAAAAAGATTTCTTTCAGATTGGGCAGAATGGTGGTTCTCTCCCCACTAGTTGATTTTGCCATCTCTTAGGAGGTTACTGAGCAGAAATTGGGTAAGGTTGGTCAATCACCAAGATTTCTTTGAAATCCAGTCCAGCTTGGGGTAATATTTAAACAGTGTAAATGATAAATGAACATTCTATTTGGGACCTTGGCCAGCCACTTCCTTTTGGGTAAGGCAACTAATAGTGTTCAAGGAGAGAGAAGGTGATCAATAATTAGGGTATGTTATATCAGGAATTCACATTTCAGGCAAGGTTTGGACTAGATAAAAGAACTTCAGATTGTCAGAGAACCTGGGTTCAGATCCCAAACATACTACTTCCTTAATGGTATACCTTAGACAAGTTATTTTAGGAAGGAAGGAACTAGCTACTTATCAAGTACCTACTAGGTGCCATTTTAAAAATGTCATCTCATTGCATCCTCAGGACAACCTTAGGAGCTAGGTGCTTTTACTATCCTCATTTTACAGCTGAGGAAATTGAAGCAGACAGAGGTTAAGTGACTTGCCCACAGTTACACAGAGTGCTTAATGCCATATTTGAACTTGGGTCTTCCTGACTCCAGGCCCAGCCCTGTATCTGCTGCACCACCTAGCTGCCTTTTGGGGTTTCAGTTTCTTCCTTTATAAAATGAGGGGTTTGGGCCAGGTGATCTCTTAAGGTCCCTTCTAACTTTAAGCCTATGACCTCTGAAGTCTTTGCCAGCTGGGATTTTGTAAATCAACCATTTCTAAAGGCAGGTTAGAATACTGCCCTCTGGTGGTGTCTATAGGGCCAACCTTGTCCACTCCCTCCTGGGTATCTCCCACAGGCGCGGGGAGCTAGTTGTTCCTTTACCTTTAACACCAGAAATTGGCTCTGCGATTTTTCCCATTACATCACCACACACTAATGTTATTATGCCTGTGCTGAAATTCTTTTAAATATTGGACACTTCCTCCTTCCCTAGTCCTGAACTTTGGGTAGGTAAAAAAAATTCTTTAAAGAATTTAAAATCAAAACCCATCACTAACCTTCTACACAGCATTCTCAGGATGACCCCAGGCAATACATGAGTGCTTGGTAATTGTCCTTATTTAATCCTGGCTTTGATCTCTGCCCACCAACCCCCCATCTCAGCCGCCCATTCCCCAAATGAGAAGGAATCTGCTCAGCATCTGTCCCAGAATTCCTGGGCCTGGAGAATAACAAGTTTGGTCGTATAGCATCCTGTTCTACATACACTCAACACCATACAAGCACAAAAACACCCCCCCCACCCCAAATTGAAGCAATTCTTGCTTAGCTCACTGCCAGCGCCTGTCAGTGGTGTGAAACCTTTCCAAATGATTCCCAAATACAGGAATTCTTAGCTTAATGGCTTGAATTTCTCTTCCCTTTATGTTTAATTAAGCTATTTTTTGCCATCCAAGTAAGCATTTGCCAGGTAAGCACTTAAGCCACCTGGAGCTATTCACTTGTCTCTTAAATATTGCACAACTTGATAGTCATGTGTACAGAGTGTAACTAATCCATGGCCTCTTGTTCGCTTTTCCCTCTTCCACACAAAAGCAGTTGCCTGGAATGCTGTCTTTGGTCTTCTGCTGCCACAACAATTCCCTTTTGTTTCTTGGTGATCTAAACCTTGAGCTGCTTTGGGATTCTGATACCTCTGTTGTTGGTGTTGGCTCAGTGCCACATAGCAAGATTCAGGTGGGGAAGGAACTGGGAAATGGTTATAGGTACTAACCTTTCTACCCACTTTCTAATGATAGCTTGCAGACCCTTTTGGTAAAACCATGAAAGCACCCTGTGTCTTAAAAAACAAAAATCCTTAATGCTAAAAGAGATCGTCCATATGATCTTCAAACAATTGATGAGGTTTGGATCTTCCTTTTGAGGCTTTTAGGTATGACTTTTATTACAGTTGGTTTTGACTAGAGAATGTCTGATGAATTCTCTGGATTTCTATGGGAAAAGCCCAGATTTCCTCAAGAAGGTGGTGGATAAGATCAGGTCAGATTTTTGATGGGATTTTTTCCTTGTAGACCAGAAGCTAAAGGTACCAAATTGATATTAAAATTGTTTTTTTTGGGGGGGGGGGTTAATTCTAGCTGAAATTTACATGATACTTTGTGGCTTACAAGATGCTTTACATATTTTCATTTGGCCTTCAGCACAATCCTGTAAAGTAAATTGTACAAGTATTAATATCCTTTTTATGCCTGAGGAAATTGAGACATAGAGAAGTTAAGTAACTTGTCAAAAAGGAATCTAGATTGAAACTCCAGTGTCCTGGAAACAGGTAACTCTGTGAGACCACAGTTGCCTAGTTTGAGGTCCCCTAGAATTCTTTTGTGGAAGCTATTTAAGTTTGAGTTCTTTGGTAGTTACAGTAATACAGACGGGGGAGGAGGGTAGATCTTGCTGTTCTCCATGTTACAGGTTTATATGGAAGCCTTGCTGCCTCCACGCAGAAACATGTTTTCAACCTGAACATATGAGTTCATAGATTAAAAGTTCACAAGGAAAGAGGTGAATTGGGATCTTATAGAATCTCTTAACAGCCTGATCTTTGCTGTACCTCTCTCCTTATTTCTGATATTTTGGATGTATGTTTATTCCACAGTTACCAGAATGTCCACTGATGGAGGGTTTGGCAGTACCAGCAGCAGTGATGCTCAGCAGAGCCTACAGTCCTTTTGGCCTCGTGTCATGGAAGAAATTCGAAATTTGACAGTGGTAAGGAAGTAGAGTAACCTTGTTTGTCTTGACAGGCTTGAAAGATAGACAAACTCCAGTATAATGAAATAGAGTAAAGACAAACAAAATCCTTTATTTGAACTTAAAAACAGTAACAACAGTATTGTATACGTAAAGGATGGGGCAGCAATTCACATGAAAAAGACTGGGAGAGATCTTAGTGGACATTTATATTTCAGCAACCCCAGAAAGCTGATGTAATTTTATTCTGCGTTTTTAGAGATGTAGTGTCCAGAAAAGCTCAAGTGATAGCGCTACTCTGCTCTGTCTTAATAAGTAGCGCCTCTCTGGAACATTTTGCTGAGTTTGAGCACTATGTTTTAGGAATTGATTGATAACCTGAATGGGTCTACAAGAGACTGTTCAGGATGGTGGTGACATCTTCCTGCTATATGAAGATTGTTGGAAAGGACTGGAGATATTTAAGCCTGAGGGGAAAGAAGATTTAGAGAAGGGCCTTGATCTTTCTGCTTTTTAAAACATTTGAAGTGATGCGTCATGGGGGAGGGATTAGATTTGTTTGGCAGAACTAGGAAAAACGCATAGAAGTTGCAAGGAGGTTGATTTTGGCTTGATGTAAAGAAAAGCTTCTTAACACATGGCATGGTTCTAAAATAGAACAAACTGGTTTGACATAGTGATCTTCTATCACTGGCTGCTGTCACATGGAAGTTAGGGAGTATTGTGGAAGGGATTCCTCTTCAGATAACACTGAGGCCTAAATAGCTTCTGAGCTTCCTCCAACCGAGATCCTGTGATAAAAGTGCTAAAATGTGTATGGTGAGTAGCCTGAAAAGGTATCTTTTATTTTATTTTCAAATTTGTTTCCAAAATACAGCACAAGATTAGAAAAAAAAAAAACATCTTCGTCTCTAACTTTTAGGTAGGAACATAATAAGCTATTTAAAGTGGCAAAACCTTCTTCACAATAACCCTGTCCGGTGAGATACTACTGATATTTTTATCCCTGTTTTACATATGAGGAAGTTCAGTTTCATAGTGCTGATAAAAGAAAAAGATGGACAAGAGCAGTTTGTGTAAGTTCAGGCTGGCCTTTTCACACTGGAGTCACATGACTCAAGAGGCATCATGGTGAATGCCATGGGAAGATTACTGGCTTGGCAGGGCAGAGATCCTGGGCCTGCATCCTGGTTAGGAAGACCTGGTTCAAATCCAGCCTTAGACACTTACTGGCTGTGTGAACTTGGGCAAGTCATCATAACCTGTTTGCCTCAGTTTCCTAAACTGTAAAATGGGGATAATAATAACATCTACCTTCTCAGGGTTATTGTGAGGATCAAATGAGGTAGTGTTTGTAAAGCACTTATCACAGTGCCTGGCACATAATAGGTGCTATATAAATGCTAGGTGCTTATCATCTCAACTTAACCAGCTGTATGAATTTGGGCAAGTGTCTTTATCCCTGAGCCTTCGTTTCCTCCTATATAAAAAAAGGGATAAAAATGCCTGGATCTCAAACAAGGGCAGAGGGATGTATAAGTGCTGTTTTTGGCCTCCTTTCTCTTCTGCTACTATGATTACTCCTTGCTCAGCCATGTTGTTCAGGCTTTCCTGGCTGCAATGAAGACCTATTGAGAGTATGTGCAGGAAACCATATGTAAGTTATAGAAAGCTCCATAAGCAGTGTAAGGCAATGGTGCCTGTGGCATTGTCTTTATTCCTCTTGCTCAGACCATCTTATCATCATGGCCGCTTAGCCTGAGGAGGCCAGTTATGTGGGAGCATTTTTCAGAAGACACATCTAGAGGTCTTTTCTCCACAGTGGTCATAGCCAGATCCATTATAGACTTACCTAAAGGATTCTGGCTTCCTTTGTAATGATAATCATGGTTTGGATTTTTTTAGATTACGTGTTTCTTCACTTGAAAAAGATTGGGCAGTTAAGAGTAATTGACCTCTCTCTCTGTCTCTGGTTTTTGATCCTTGAAACTCTGTTCCTGTATAATAAACAGGATTTGCCTGTACCAAAGGCCCGAGGGGACCTCAGATGACCCTAAATTTTCAGAGGCTGCACCAACAGGGTATAAGCTCCAGCTGATTCTCTCCAGTCAGAAAAGCTTCCAGCCCAGTAAGAGACGTCTAATCCTGTCATCCAGGAGTCAGCCTAACAAAGTTCAGAAAGGCTCATTACCAGAAAGATGGCCACTGAGGGATGAATTTTTTCACCCAGAGGAACTTAAGAAGATCATAACACTAACATGGCAAATCTGCCTCAGTGAACGGAATACCTGTACCAAGAAAACTACGGATGCTTGAAATATTGAAGTGTAAGGGGCAGCTAGGTGGTGTAGCGGATAGAGCTCCAGTGTTGGAGTCAGAAGGACCTGAGTTCAAATTCAGCCTCAGACACTTGACACTAGCTGTATGACCCTCGGCAAGTCACTTAACCCTGATTGCCTTACCAAAAAGCAAAAAAAAAAAAAAGAAAATGGAAGTGTAATATGCACAAATAACCAGTAAGAGAGAGCAAATAACAGAAAACAGTCTTATTCCCTTAGCTCAGGCCTCAGTTATTTAATCTGTAAAACAAAGGGGTAAAACTAGAAGATGTCCTTTCCTACTCTCTCTGATGCTGTGAACGTTTTGTGAAACTTGTGAAAAGATTTTATTGAAGAAAATATTCGATGTTAAATACTAGATTTCACACTTTCCCTCAAATCTACATAAAATGTAATAAGTTCAGCCTAAAAATAAGTATCTTTTAGCTTATTTCTACAATTTTCCTTCCTTTCAACAAGATTCCATTTTAGTAAATTGACCTCTGTGTTCAGGTGACTAACTGAAGTCTCTCAGGGCTTCAGATTTCAAGTCCATTGTGCTTTGTGATATAACACTCATCTTCCCTAACTATCTGCAGTGAAATAGAAAAGACTGAAGTGAAAGAAAGTGGGTTAGTCAGTTTTCTTTGGGATTGTGCTACCAACAAACTGTGAAAATACCTTTGGGTTTGTGAGTCATTCTCAAAGTTCATTGTTGTTGCTGGAGACAATCAAATGTAAAAATTTTAAGGCTAGACCCCCTTCATTCTTCTTGGTTGCAGAGTCCTGCTCAGACCCTGATGTTGCTTACTTTGATATTCAGGAATAGGAAAGTGACCAGAGGAGCTTCACAGTGTTCATGCTCAGCCCTTTGCTTTCTTCTCTGCCTTCTGTTAAATTTTGATTATGTCACACTTTGTTTACTATTGCAAAACTTGTTTGCTGACAAAACAGATTTTAATGTTGACATTGGATTGAGGCCGCCAATATATTACGAGAAGTTAAGACTACTTTGGGGCATCCTGTTTTGTCAGGGAGGGGGAAGATGACAGCAGGGAAAAGAGATAACATTTGAACATTAATTTATTGAAAAACGACTGAAATTTCCTTATAGAAGAGACCCCACCCTTAAGACACATTCTTCTTTTTCACCCCATACTCTGTTGTATTTCTAAGTCTTAACCTTGGTATGCTATATTTTGATGATGGGCATATCCAGAAAAGTCATATATGAAATTGTTTCTCCAAATGAGAACTATCTTTTTTCCTATATCAAGAACAACAGTGGTTCTCAGTGGTTTTGATCTGAAGAACCCTTTACACTTTTGAGGACTGACTCCCAAGAACTTTTGTTATGCGGGTTTTAGCTATCCATATTGACTGCATAAGAAATGGAAACTGATAAATTATTTCAGAATTTATTTATTACTTTTTAGTTTTCAACATTTACTTCCATAAGCTTTTTTTTTTTTTTTTTTTTTTGCGAGGCAATCGGGGTCCGGGGTCACACAGCTCGTGTCAAGTATCTGGTCTGACATCAGATTTGAACCCAGTCCCTCCCGACTCCAGGGCTGGTGCTTTATCCACTGCGCCACCTAGCTGTGCCTCCATAAGCTTTTGAGTTTTAAATTTTCTCCCTCTGCCCAAGATGGCGTGCAATCTGACATGTGCTCTAGATACACATTCATATTAGATATAATTTCACATTAGTCATGTTGTAAAGAAGAATTAGAGCCAATGGGAGGAACCATGAGAAAGAAGAAACAACAGCAACAACAAAAAAGAGAGCAAATAGCATGCTTCCATCTGCATTCAGACTCTTGTCCTTGCTCTTGGTTTGGACAGCATTTTCCATCATGAGTTTTTTGGAGTTGTCTTAAATCTTTGCATTGCTGAGAAGAGCCAAGTCTGTGAAAGTTAGTCATTGCACAATGTGGCTGTTACTGTGTACAGTGTTCTCCTCATTCTACTCACTTCGCTCAGCATCAGTTCATATAAGTCTCCAGGTTTTTCTGAAGTCTACTTGCTCATCATTTCTTACAGCACAACAGTATTCTGTTACATTCATATACCACAATTTGTTCAGCCAGTCCCCATTTGTGGGCATCCCCTCAATTTCCAATTCTTGGTCACCACAAAAAGAGCTGCTATAAATATCTTTGTACATGTGGGTCCTTTTCCCGTTTTTGTGATCTCTTTGGGATACAGACCTAGAAATGGTATTGCTGGGTCAAGAGGTATGCATGGGAAAACTGATAAATTTTAAGATATTTCTTCATACTAAACCCATGACATGTTAAATAATACTGTTTATGAAAACTATTTTCCAAACCAACAAAAATATAGTGAAGAAGCATGACTGTGTTTCACACACTTGGGTAAATCTATTGAGTGTCTGGTTTCACAGAAGACTGTTAGAGTCTCGTACCTGCTTCTGCACACAATCTCTTGCAATATGTATTTTAGTTGAAATATATGAAAAAAATCTGGCTTCACACACACATATAGTTGGAAAAGGGAGAAGTATTTTAATAGCCTTTTCAAGTGATGATGAATATTCTTTGATGCAAAACTTGATACGTAGCAGGACTTTCAAGGTGAGTTGCAGTATGACCTCTGAAACCACATCAGTGACCTTTTCCTGCTCTGTTTGTCACATTAAAATCCATTGGTTTGTCATACACTTTGAATGGATTTTTT